TAAGAGGCCTGGGGCAGCAGAAGAAATAATGATACAAGATAATGAGTGCTATGAAAAGTTTTCCTCGCCTATTTTCCATGTTTCCAATAAGCACAGAAGATGGACAATAACGGTACTTACTGGAGATGTTTCAGATTGCTGGTGAAAAGTGGGGAATTGCCTGCTGGGTGATATCTTCTAATAGAGCAATTGCAAATCCATCTTCTAATAGAACAATTGTAAATCCACTTGTCACAGCCGTAATGTGCCAACAGTGCTGCGAAGGTGTAGGAATCAGAATAGGTGTTCAAACCTTTTAAGCATGGGTTTCACTGACAGTCGCCCAGGGTTAACAATGGACAGAGTGCTTGCTGGAGGAACAACAGAAACAAATTCACGTTCAGCTGAAGTCTGGGTGCACGTGGTTAGGAAGAACTAAGCAGCTCCTGAATTTGTTCCCACCCAGCCAATCCCATCCACCCCCATCTTCTTCCAACTGTTGGTCGACCAAATTCCCACCCCAAGTGTCATTCCATTCACAGCAGCTCAGATAGCTAAGAGCAGGGGTCAGCAAACTTTTTCAGCAGGGGACTGTTAGTTTCTGTTTTGCCACTGAGCAGCTGCTTAGAGTCACAGGACTCTGTTTACATTCCAGACACATTCCATACTGTTGGAAGTCTCATGGGAGACGAGAGACGGATGTGACGTTACTGGTTTCCTGTTCTTTTTTTTTTCAGTTGCTCTCTGCTCTCACAGGGAGAGGATGTATTTTTGTCTGCGTAGTAAGAAATAAAGCATAGCGACGTAGCCATAAATCTCATCACTTCTGCTGCTTTGATTCTCTGCTGAACGGAAACGTGCCTTGGAGCCTCATCAAAGGCTCAGGTTGTTAATTATTCGTCGGGAGGGCGATTCTGGAAGATGAGCTTTATCAGCTTGGCCGAGCGGAGATCCCGACAGGGACCGGTCCACTGTCTCTCAGACCTTGTGGTGGGCTGGACTATATTGGGGGGAGGGATGAACAAATTCCTATGCCCCACAAATAACCCAGAGATGCATTTTAAATAAAAGCACACATTCTATTCATGTAAAAACACCAGGCAGGCCCCGCAAATAACCCAGAGATGCATTTTAAATAAAAGCACACATTCTACTCATGTAAAAACATGCTGATTCCTGGACCGTCCGCAGGCCAGATTTAGAAGGCGATTGGGCCAGATCCGGCCCCCGGGCCTTAGTTTGCCTACCCATGGCTAAGAGGTTTAGAGTTCTGAATGGAACTGATCAAATCAAATCAAATATCTTTAATACGGTCAATGACCAGGAAGCAATTTATAAAATATGACATTAAGAGTAGTATTGTGCTACAAGTAACAGTAAAAATATGGCCAATTCACAGAATTGGTGCTTATATTTATGACCAGGTTTCGAGTTTTAAGTTTTTAAAATTCGATTCAGGAGTCGCTACTGTTTATTGTCGTTCCTTCGATGTTTACAGTTTGAACTCCTTTGTAGACATCATTGCTCGTCTTATTCTTGTTGCAATGTAACAGTACTTTGCCACGGACCTGTTAATTTCGGGCTCTTTGTCAGCTAGGAGGTGTCTGATATAGGTGTCGTCTGTACTACGAGGTATTTTCCTCAGAATCGGTTCGATCAGCTCTTTTCTTGAGTCTCGATATAATGGGCAGTATAAGATGACATGCCCAATGGTTTCGATTTCATTGCTGTTACAGGGACATAATCTTTGTTCGATCGGTATTTTATTGTATCTTCCCTCTAGAAGAGCTGAAGGGAGAGCGTTAAAGCGGGCCCTGGAAAATGCCCATCGGTGTTTAGCGTTGTCTAGAACTTTGAGATAGTTTGCTAGATGGGGCCTTTGGGAATTGTATAGAAGTTTATAGGTTATCGGAAGTTGGTTAAAGTCATTTTGGGTTTCAATGTCCCTGAGTCTTTCTTTGATTATGTTCTTGGCCCTTCCCCTTTCTAAACTTAATAAATACTCTGGGGAGAGACCATATGTGGCCAGTTTTCTGAGAATGCCCTTCAACCAGCTAGATTGGAATTTGTCAAGAAGCATCAGGGAAAGTAGTCCAACCGGCGAGTTGTTAAGTCTTAGCCAAGTGCATAAGGTTCTTATCCATACTTTGGCTTTAATGCTGTATAAGCCCGTTTCCAGTCGTAAGGCGGCGTTTGGGACGCATTTAGGTGTTTGCAGGAGTGATCTAAGGAAACCTGATTGTATCTTCTCATATGGGTCTAGATTAGAGAGGGAGACGAGTGGTGCGCCGTATAGGATTTGTGCTGTTGGTTTTGCAACGAATAGTTTAATTGTAGCAGGAATGAAATTTCCTCCCGTTGTACGATGGAATCTTAGGATTGCTGTTGTACTTTTTTGTGCTGTAAAGGAGCTGTAGTTTATGTGGGCAGTCTTCTTCCTTGATGCTTGGAATATCACTCCTAGATATTTAAAGCATGTCACTTGTTCAATCTCCTGATTGTCTAAATTCCATCTGTATATTTTCCTTTTGTTAGAGAAAACCATGATTTTTGTTTTTGGTAGTTCACTGCTAGTTTCTCTTCTCTACAATATTGGGATAAGCTGTTAAGAGCTCTTTTGAGGCCCATCTGAGTCTGGGACAATATAACCGCATCGTCTGCATAGAGTAGGATAGGCAGTTTTTGTCTGCTAATTTTGGGGCGTGTGTATCCGCTCCTTGTAGGTGGTCTATTAGGGAGTTTATATAGATGTTGAACAAAAAGGGGGCCAAAATGCATCCTTGTTTAACTCCCTTTGTTGTTCTAATGAAATTAGAGAGTTGACCTTCTTGGCTGCATCTTATACGAAGTCGTGTGTTATTGTACAGTTTGTATATTAGTAGCAGCAGACGTCGGTCTATGGATGATTTGTTGAGTTTGTCCCAGAGTCGAGTTCTTGGGATGGAGTCAAAGGCTGCTTTAAAATCTACAAATGCTGCGAATAGGTGGTGATTGTGATGCGACGTGTATTTCTCAGCTAGGTGCTGTAAGATCAGGCAGTGATCCATTGTGGATCTCCCTTGTCTAAATCCTGCCTGTGCATCATCAAGAATCTTCGCTCTTTCTATCCATTCGCACAGTTTCTCGCTGAGATGTTTAGCGTATAATTTACTTATTATATTCAGGAGGCTTATAGGTCTATAGTTGGAGGGATCGTCCCTCGAGCCTTTTTTGTAAATGGGAATAATGATGGAAGTCCCCCAGTCGTATGGGATCTGTGCAGTTCTATCTATATATGTGAACAGAGAGGCTAGCAAGGGGGCCCACCAGTTCGCATTGGTTTTAAATAGTTCCGCTGGTATACAGTCAATTCCGGGGCTTTCCCGTTCTTTAGTTGGTCAATCAGCAGATGGGTCTCTGTTAATGAGACTGCTGGCCATGGCTGTATCTGATCATCCGGTATGTCTAATGCATAGGACTCATCGCTAGATTCCTCGTAAAGATTATGGAAGTGCGTTTCCCAGGCTTTCATTGATATGCAGCAGGATAGTTGTGATAGGCCCCTATCCGGCTGTACAGCTACGATTCTCCAGAATAATGATGGGTTACTTGATTTGGAGGCCTCTATCAGTTGCTGCCATAATAACTTCATTGCGTATCTTTTCTTTTGTGTCAGAAGTTTTTTGTAACTTCTTTTGGCTTCAAGCATCTTTTGTCTGTTGTCCTCTGTTGGATTATCCTTATGGCAGATGAAGGAGTGGATCAATGATTTCTTGGAGGTTATACACTCATGATCGAACCACTCCCTGGAAGTTTTCCGACGGTGGGGAGGCTTGGAATTCGGTTTTACAACAAACTCTTGAATTTTTTGTATAAGCATTTCATATGTTGTCATCATGTTCGGGCGCTCTCCTCTATTTCTAAGCACCCTTCCATAATTGCTTTTGAGAGACGGTAGCTCTCCTCAGTTTTATACCAGTTAGATATCCGCTCGCTCACTTGTCCGTTCCATCTGATTTTCTTGAGGCCTGTTCCGGGTGTTAGATCTGGTTGATATCTGTGTTGTGGTTTGGGCAGATCAAAGGGTAAATCACACACGAGGGATAAAGGTAGATGATCACTTTCAGCTCTTGCTGTAATGGTGAATTTTGATATCCTAGGGATCAGGTCCTGGGAAACAATGCAATAATCTATCGTTGACAGTTTGTGTCCTGACCAATATGTGTATTGACCAGGATAATCTCCTTGTATAGCCCCATTCAGTAAGTGTAGATTCTGTCTGTAGGCCATGTGTGCTAAATGTAGTCCTCCAATGTTGCATGTCTTATCGTAGGATGATCTTATCATTAGGGGTGGGATAGTTTCCATTTCTGGAGGCCATTGGTGAAAATGTGCATATAGGGCGTTGTCGTTAGGGCCCACTCTTGCGTTTAGGTCACCAGCTAGTAATATCATGGCTGACGGGTGTTGTCTCCTCCATTGCACCACGTGGGCTTCCACTTCTTTCCATAGTTGTTCTACTTGTGCCTGCCGACGACATGTAGGTAAGTATAAGTTTATGCATAGCAGTTTGCTTTGTCCGAAATCTAAAACTGCTGCTACAGACCATTCATCATTGGAGGGTAATTGGATAATATTAGCTTGTATCTGCGTTGAGAACAGTAAGGCTAAGCCTCCTTTGGGTCTGCCCCCCTTTGGCTAGGTGTTGCTCTTTTAATACACGAGTGGTAATTATCCAGGTAGAGCTCGTCTATCGACCAGGTTTCCTGGATGAACAGGATGTCAAATTTAGTGAGGAAGTCCATTAGATTGGGATCTTTGCTTTTGGCTCCCCACCCTGCGATGTTCCACGTACAGGTGGTCAGCTTGTGATTTTTGGTTGTCAGACATCTCAAGGGACAATCAAGCTTAGGTTTATAGCCAATTTGGGATTTATCATTCATTATGTCCGTTTTGGGGTGTGTAGTGGGACATTTTGGCACGGTGTGAACTTGGACACATTTTAGTGTCCCGGAGGGGCGTTCTTTCCCCGTGACCTTATTTCAGTCCGTGTGGATGGTGTCTAGGGCTCCTAGGTTGTCCACAAAGATTGAACCGTTCTTGCCTGGTGGTACCGCTATTTCAGCTTGATGTGTTATTGTTTTCTTTGTTATAGGTGGTTCCGTAGGTCCGAGTTCCTCTGGCGATAGGAATAGCCTTAGTATCCACTCACTGTTGGATAGAGGTTTTGTGGTATAGGTTGCATAGTTAAATTCCCTGGTGACGGGTGTGGCTAGGAGTGTAATAGTTTTCCTTATGGATGCTAATCTTTCAATTAGTGCGTCCTGAGCTTTATGTATTTGTTCAATAGTTGCTATGAAGCGGTTTTCCTTCTCTATGTTGGAGCTTTCATCTGGTACGTGATTTGGGGATAGGGTTTTTGGTCTTTTAGCCAGCTGGTTTGGGGCTTTGTCTGCCTCTAGTTGAAGCATCTTACAGTTCTCGTCCGTCATAGACATTGTCGGCTTTATTTTTATCTTATCAGTCTTGATTGTTTCGATGAGAGGAGTGGGAGTACCGGACACTTCGAATAGGCGAGTCACCTGCAATCCAACCCTTTGTAGCTTGTCCTTATTGTCTGAAACTAGTTTGGTTGTGTGCCAGTCTCTGAATGTTACCACAACTCTGTTTAGGTCCTTGTCTGATGGCAGAAATTTAACATTAATGATGTTTTCTGCTGGGACGAACCCTCTAACGGCTAATTCAGTTTTCTTGAGAATATAAATTCTCTGTTGTGCTGGAGAAAGGAGGTCTTTGTGCATGTATACAGGTAGGATGATGAGTTTTTGTTTGTTTAGAATTAGATTTCTGCGAGAGTATGTTGTTTTAGGAGTAGTTTCTTGCTTAGGGATCGGGTTTTCTCTTGATTTTCCCGCGGTTCCATTCGGGAGCGCTAGTTGCTCTGTTGAATTATGAAGCCTAGCCTTATGGAGTTCCTCTGTTGAATTGAAAAGCCCAGCCTTATGGAGGTTTTTATTTGGGCTTGGGCTTCGGCTTTTATCAAGGGGTGGCAGGACTAGGTTAGCTGGGTTCGTTGGATTTGAATTTTCTAATAGCTTAAATAGTCTTGTGAGGTTCATTTTCTTTGTTCGAGATGGGAGCTTTGTCTTCCTTCCCATTTTTACGTTCTTGGGCTTCTTCTCTTTATTCCTGGGGCACTTCCCCTTTAAGAGGGGTTTCTTAGGGTCAATTAAGTTTCCCTTCTGGTTTGCTTTGATCCTAGATGTTTTCCTTTTTTCCACATTATGTCGGGTTTTATTTTCCTTACTGGTGTTATCGTTTGGTGTGCTAGAGAGAATTTTATATGAATGCAAGTTGTCTATTCTCCTAGTTATTTCAGTCAAAGTGGTAAGTAGGCCCAAGCATTCTGAGAGGAAGTCTTTGATGTGACCCAGATCTCTGCCTATCTGCGACTTCTGTTCATTTAACAGATCATTATATAGCCCTGTTAGTATGTAGGGAAGGCATTCCAAGTCCAGATATTGGGCTCTTGTGTCCTCCGGGTCCCCATTCGTCACAGTGTGAAACCCCGTCTTCTCCCCGGGCCCTGGTCCCTGGGAGGGCTCATCTGTCTTAATTACTGGGTTTTCCTCTTGTGACTCTTGTTCCTGCTCCAGCCCCGGTTGATTCACTGAGGTTTCATCTTCTATGGCAGCTTGTTTTATTTCCATTGCCAGACTGACTCCCACCCCTTCTTCATCTGTTTCCATTAGCTCCCCGTACCTGGTACGGTCTATGGACCATTCGTGGGGGTGTCGTTTGTCAGCATTATTTATTTTGTCTGTTTTCGGTTTAAAATATTGTGAGATTTTCACCTGCCTTCCTCTTGTAGAGGGTTCAGCCGCTTTGATGAGGGGAATTCCCAGCTCTTTATAGCTCTGTCTTGTAAACACCATTCTCTAGGTTGAAAGCTTCCCTTATTGGGCACTTTATTGTAGAAATAAAGGTAGAGGTAAAGTTTGGAAAACCGGTGTCCAGGCTGTTGGATCAGGGAGCCTCCCTACCTTTCCCTCTTTAAGCCTTAACTTGGGGCGGGAGGGTATTCATGGGGGAGTTCTTGGACTTATCTTATCGAGGTGAGGCTCAATGGAGTTCAGCGGTTTCCTCTGCTTCTTTGGTTATATTTCAAGCCAGTCCGTCGTCCGGGAGCTCCAAGGTTGTAAGTCAGTGTAGCAGTATCAGTAAACAGTGCGACGATAAAACAATAAAACAATAAAAGAATAAAAGACTAAACTAATTAAAACGAGGCGACAGGACTGACAGCCAACAGTCTTTAAGGTCCTTGAGGTGCAGTTTTGGGGTCTTGAAGAGGCTAAAACTAATAAAACGCTTAGTTGAAATCGGAGACTCTAATTAGGCTGCTACCTCCGTCGCCATCTTGGCCCCTCTCCACACATTCTATTCATGTAAAAACACCAGGCAGGCCCCGCAAATAACCCAGAGATGCATTTTAAATAAAAGCACACATTCTACTCATGTAAAAACATGCTGATTCCTGGACCGTCCACAGGCCAGATTTAGAAGGCGATTGGGCCGGATCCGGCCCCCGGGCCTTAGTTTGCCTACCCATGGCTAAGAGGTTTAGAGTTCTGAATGGAACTGATCTTTTGGGAGAGGAATAGCCAACACAGAAACGCCTCCCCCCTCCCACAGATATTGCTGGACTACATCTCCCATTAGTCAAGAGGTCCAATGGATGATAGAGGATTATAATCTCACAACATATGGAGGGTGATGAAGCAGAACCATGATCCACTCCATTCTCCCTATATTTAATGGATTGTTGAGAGTAAGAGCTACTAATGCAGGAATCTACATATGGAAGCTTTGACACATAGTAAAGGATCCGCATAGCGAAGGGGTGGAGGGTCTTTTATCTGTAGAGGGCCTCATTCCTTTGGGGTATTGTCAGGGGATGCATGCCAGAAGGGGGCAGGACTGGAGCTAGCGGAAATGGGTGGAGCCAAAAGTGGGAGGGACCATCAGCAAAAGGGAATGGGGCCCCCCTCTTTTCTCTTCTCTCTCTCTCTCTCTTCCTCCACTTTCCCTACTATTTTGCATCCTTGCCACCTGCATGAAATTAGGCAAAGCACATAGCTCACTCCTGACACAAGGAATGTGGGAGGGTGTGCGACAGCAGGGCTTGCTCCCAGCTCTTCATGTCGACAATGCAAATACTGCAGCCATCTTTGAATACAGTGGTACCTCGGGTTACATACACTTCAGGTTACATATGCTTCAGGTTACAGACTCCTCTAACCCAGAAATAATACCTTGGGTTAAGAACTTTGCTTCAGGATGAGAACAGAGATTGTGCAGCGGTGGCGCAGCGGCAGCAGCAGGCCCCATTAGCTAAAGTGGTGCTTCAGGTTAAGAACAGTTTCAGGTTAAGAACGGACCTCTGGAACGAATTAAGTACGTAACCAGAGGTACCACTGTAAAGTTTTATATATATATATATATATATATATATATAAAGGCAGACAATTACGGTTGCAATCTCAGAGCTCCTTTATGCAATAAAAAGGGCATTTTTCATGCAACTTGTTATCCCACTGTACCAGGAAATTGGGGGCAGGGGGTTTGCTTAGTTCTCATTCTCTCTCTCTCTCTCTCTCTCTCTCTCACACACACACACACACACACACACTTTTCTTCCCAACAGTCTTGTGAGGTACCTTGGGCTAAGAGATAGTGACAGACCCAAGGTTTCTCAGAGCTAAGTAGGAATGTGCAGAGAATCCTAGCAGATGACTCTGCCTGCCCACCACAGTGGGGGATGCAATACAAATGCACATTCTGTTCTCTAATAGTGTGATCCTATGTCTATTCAGAAGTCTGTCCCATTGAGTCCAATGGGGCTTACTTTCAGTTAAGTGGGTATAGGATTGTAACTTCAGTCTCAGCAAATCTATGCTTGAGAGAACACCAATTCTATTTAGAAGGAAGAGTTAATCTGATGAATGTCTCTTAAATTAATTTTTGATTCCCTAAATAATAAAAGAGGGTGGGTTTTTTTAAAGTGTGAAAAGTCTACATGTGGATTACTAAGAAGTAATTCTGATTCAGCAGCCCTTGAGAAATTAAAGTGACACTTGGCACTTGACCTTGTAGTCTCTTAACAGAAATATTTTTTGTTCTTGGATTGATCTTAATATTGAGTGTTCTTATATAATATTAATATTTCTGAGACTACCTCATACATTTATTTATGTTTCAAGAATCTAATAATGATGTTGGGTTATGTGAACATGAACTAAATAAAATGGCAATGAATCATTGTTGAATCATTAGATTATTCAGTCTCACAGTCATTAATCAAACCTCACACCCCATGTAACCACTTAAGAAAAACGAATAAAGCCTTCGTTCATCGAAGCTAATCTTATAAGGGAGTTGTAAGGGACCACGAGGGTCATCTAATTCAATGTCCTGCAATGCAGGAAACTTTTGTCCAACTTTGGCAGAAGAAGTATCACATGATGCAATGTATAGCATATTACTTAGGTTGCCGGTCTACTCCAGTGTGGTGTAGTGGTTAAGAGCAGTAGACTCGTAATCTGGTGAACCGGGTTCGCGTCTCCGCTCCTCCACATGCAGCTGCTGGGTGACCTTGGGCTAGTCACACTTCTTTGAAGTCTCTCAGCCCCACTCACCTCACAGAGTGTTTGTTGTGGTGGAGGAAGGGTAAGGAGAATGTTAGCCGCTTTGAGACTCCTTCGGGTAGTGATAAAGTGGGATATGAAATCCAAACTCTTATTCTTCTTTCATTTAATAATAATAATAATAATAATAATAATAATAATAATAAATTTATTTATACCCCGCCCATATGGCTGGGCTTCCCCAGCCACTCTGGGCAGCTTCCAACAAAATATTAAAATACCGTAATACATCAAACATTAAAAGCTTCCCTAAACATTTAACTCCACCTCCCTTCCCCAGGGGATTGAACTATATTCCTGGGTTCTGATTCAGGACAATATCATTTTGCACATCATTCCTCCAAAGTTACATACAGTTGTACCTTGGATCTTGAATGCCTTGGCGCCCGAACAAATCGGCTCCCGAATGATTGAAACCCAGAAGTGAGTGTTCCAGTTTTCAAAAGTTCTTTTGGAAGCCGGCTGCAAGAGCTTCCTGCAGCCAATCAGAAGCCGCACTTTGGTTTTCTAATGTTCTGGAAATCAAACAGACTTCCGGAATGGATTCCATTAGACTTCCAAGGTACGACTGTATTTATAAGTTCTATTGATTTAAAAAGAAGTGTTGATCATGTCTTTAACTCTCTCATTAAGCATCAGTAATATTAAAGCCAATGTCCAGTTTCTGCGGTCAGCATGGTCAGATTGACAAGGCTAGAAAAATGCCCACTGTGCCACCATTTTTAGTTCTTATCAGGCATCTAGGAGGGGCTCATGACACTTGAGATCTTTATCAACAACTGATGCAAAACAACAGTTCCTGAGCACCACCTATTGTTCCCAAGCTCCACCTATTTCTTCACAGAGATTGCCAGGAAGCAGAATGAATTGGCTTGTTTTTGTGTGATTATTTCCTTTTGTATTTTTATGTTGTGACCTGCCCTGTGATCTTTGGATGAAGGGCGGCATACAAATTTAAAAATACAGTTATATAAATTTATAATGAATATTCTGTCTCAGCATGCCTCCGATCCCCCTGGGCTCTCGGCATGTACTGAGAGAGCCTGTTCTCTGCCCCACCCATGAGATACAGAAGATTGCAAAGCACAATTCTGTATTCATGTGCAGCAAATAAAAGAGAGGTGAACCTGCTGTTTCTGACCTTGCTTGAGTGCACTACACAAAATAAGAGAGTTTGTCTCCACCCATCACATAAGGGGAGCTGTGTTCTCTTGTAAAATCTGGGAACAGATGGGTGTTTCTTGCAGTTCACAAACTATGCTACTTGTTAGAAAAATCTTGCACATAAATCAAACTTAGGTGCCATTGAAATGATGCAAAAAATAAAAGAGATGCTCAGCATTTAAGTTCAGTCCAATGTGGCTTAGCTTCTGAAGCCAAAGCTCTAAATCCTAGCTGTATTTTGTTCACTTGACTCTTATTCTCTGAACTTTGTCTGATTTCCCTCTTTTAATTGTCCGAACTCTTTTAATCAGGAAAGAATCAAAGTGCAGTTCTTCTCCATCACCTTTGTAATGCTGCGGAATAATTCTATGACTCCACGCTTCTTAATACACCCTATGCCAACTTATACTTATCAAAATTTCTATACTTAAACCCATTGGCATGTATAAAAGACAGATCTGTTGCAATCAGTGGACTTTAATTTGTCACAATTAATTTAAGTCCATTGATTTTAATGAGTCTGCAGTGGGTATGATTAGTTGGATATAGCCAAATATCCCTACATTGTTGGATCAGGCTGTAACTTGTCATCAAGTGCACTAGCAGTAGCAGCCCAACCACAAACATTTAGGGGTTTTTAAGTTTAGAAAAAATGCAAGTAAGAGAGGACATGTTAGAGGTGTATAAAATTATTTGTGGTGTAGAGTTACCAAATTCGAAAAGTGAAAATCCGTGCAAAGTTGTTGAGCTTTTTTAAGTCGTTGGGCTTGGGGGGGGGGCGTGATTTTTACAACATTTTCCTTAAACAATTGCCCTGGTTGCCATACATCCAGGTTTTCAGCAAACATACCTCTGGATGCTATTTTGACAGTCCAATACCCGGGTGTGAAACAAACAAACAAACATTTTAAGAGAAGACAATACTGTAGTGTGACACAACAAGAGAGAGGAAGGCAGGGGAGGGAGAAAAAAAATCATGGAAAGTGAGAAGATTTTTTTAAAATAAAAAGTTGGCTCCAAGATACAAGTTGGGGGTTAAATGTGGGCTCTGAAATGATTGAAGGCTA